CAAGAAAATATTTTAGTTAAAAAACTTCCCGCCAAAATTTTCCCATTATGTTGTTACCCCCTTGGTCCCTCATTTTTTCCAAATAAGCATCATCTTACGTCTACATTTTCTTCGTCTCATTTTCTCGTTTTTTTTCAATATTTATTCAGTGGTAACCAAACATGCACAAATACATGTACTTACACCTCTTCTCGATATGTGATATTGATATCGATCGTAAATGAAATTTTATCATGTGTTTATTTACAGAGCAATTCAGTCATGATATAAACGTGCCTCAAATATAATATAACATTCACTGATGACAATAATGATGATGATGAGACTTCATTTCTCAAGTGCATTTATTTGCTGGATCATTGTTGTATTTTATGATGTTGGAGCAGAAATAGTGTGGATTTGGCGGGAAAATTTGACAGAGGATTGTGAAAAATTTGACTTTTAGGCCTTTTCTATTGCAAAAATTATGCGCTCAAATCACTTTCCATCCAAAAGATTCTAACCAATTTTATGCGTTACTTCTAATGCTGATGCTGTGTCTACTAAACAAATATTATACATACAACACTACTCAATAGATAATTCTTATCAAGCATGAATCTCCTCCCTCCAACTACATATGTATCCTCAAATAATATACATACTATGTTTAATGTAAGGTTGATTGTACTTTACGTACTCTGTGTATGTATATTTTGTTACTATTTGCAAATTGATGTTAACTACATGTTAAAGCTCTCCTGCTGCTTTCATCTTTTATTTAATATATCTGGTCTTGCTCTGTTGTTGATGTAATGTACTAGCTTGTATTTGTGTAACATTTGTAATATCCATCAGTGACCTTCCTCATTCTTGATTAGATTTATTGATTTTTTGTTTTATTTCATGGTTTGCCCAATTATGTTGAATCTGAAAGATTTGGATTTATCTATGGATTAAGGTTGATGTTTGGATGAAGACATTTTGCATTATCAATTCTGAGGATGAAATTGGAGTAATCAAATTATTTTGGATTAGTTGGATAGACAATAAACTGTTTGATAATGAAATAAAATTCAAATGAGTAAGTTTAGGTATATGGAGGTGATTTGAGTAGGATTTGGCTATATCCTCAGGAAGACTTACCCGGAAGGCACGTGGCGTAAAAATGAGTCGAGTTGACTTAATGTCTTTCAGAATCGGAATCGACTTTACTTAATTCATCTTCAGGTTCCAAGATATAATGTTGCAAATTATTAATGACTTACTGATTGAGTTGCTACGTATAAGCTTAAGGACACATAAAATGATCTTAGGCAACTCTAGAATGAATTAGAATAATATACAACAGATCTCAAGGAAACTATTATCTTGAGCTGCTCGTTATAAGTCTTTAGTCTATTCTATATCCTCAACGACTCGTACAATTCAAAAAGGATTTCAACTGTTCATCTTCAGCAACTTCAACAGTGCTTTTAAAAAACATCATTTCGCAGTTCCTTTCACCATTAAGTCAAACTTTCTTACAAAAAAAAGCTCCTTAAAAAATTCCACCGATTGATTCTTGACATCAAAAAGTCTTACAAATAGTTTTACAAAGTAAATTCATTTTAAATCTGGAAAACTACTTAAAAGGCTTTTTTCATCGATATCCGATTTAGATCCACATATCATGTAGAAGTAATTTTTCAATCTACTTATCTTATCAAAGAGGAAATACTTCTAATATTACGAAGAGAATTTGAGTGCCATATATAGCTATGAAAAGTTTTAAGGAAGAATATGAAGGGGTTGGTCATAAATTAGGTCACAAATTAGGTAAAGACTGTTTAGGGTACATAACCATATTTTTTAATGATCTTTGTAGGTAGCTGCTAACAATGATTAGGTCTAGTCCACTAAGATAAATAATCAAGATCTTTGTGACCCAGGCGCATAGCCAGGAGGGTCTTGTCTCCCCCTTAAACGTTTTGAACTGTTTAAGACGGGGACAATAACCTCCTGGCTACCAGCCTGATGTGACCACAACCTCAACTCTAATTCCGCATTGAGTACAACCATAATGCTGCATAATATTCAATTTCCGATTAGACATCACTTCCGTACAATCCCAACTACAAGTAGGTAAATAACAAATATTGGCAATTGAAATTGATGTTTCTATCCAGTAAGCAAAGTAAAGTGAGTATATAAAGCACTTCCAAAATAAATGTCTTACTTTAGTTTAGTATATTATACATAACTGCAATGCATCAGTTCATTAAAATTTTACTAGCTGTAAGTGCTTTCTGCTGTGCTGCACATTCGTACGAATGGTATGAAGCTGGAAATTTCTATCAGATTTATCCACGCTCATTTATGGATAGCAACAATGACGGTGTTGGAGATTTGCAAGGAATTAAATCTAAATTACAATACTTGAAGGATTTAGGTATGGATGGTGTTTGGCTTTCACCGATTTATAAATCACCAAATGCAGATTTTGGATATGACATATCTGACTTTCGTGACATTCATGAATTATTTGGCACATTGGCCGATTTTGAGCAATTAATTGATGAATGTAATCGACTGGATTTAAAATTAATTCTGGATTTTGTGCCAAATCATAGCTCAAATGAACATGAATGGTTCAAAAGAAGTGAACGTAATGAATCTGGATATGAGGATTATTACATATGGAGAACGCCAAAAATTGATGAAGTATCTAACATTCCAATACCAATTAATAACTGGATGTCAATATTCAGATATCCAGCATGGAAATGGTCCGATATTAGACAGCAAATGTATTATCACATCTTTCTATACCAGCAACCTGACTTGAATTACAGAAATCCAAAGCTGGTAGAGGAAATGAAGGAAGTATTGAGGTTTTGGATGAAAAAAGGAGTAAGCGGCTACAGAGTGGTAAGTATTGATCCTTATAAATCACCAGTTATCTACAAAATATTTAATTGTATTTTTAAAGGATGCTATCCCACATCTAGTTGAGAAAATTAACTCCGATGGAAGCTTTCCGGATGAACCACGTTCTTATGATCCAAACTGCGACCAGTACGACCATTGCTCATTGAATAACATCTATACACATGATCAGCCGGAGACTTATGACATGGTTTATCAATGGAGGAAAGTGCTTGATGACTTTTCAGCTGAAAATAAAGCTGGAAGTAAAGTTCTTATGTTGGAATCAGGTGCTAGGATTGACCTCAACATGCTTTATTATGGAAATTCTACAACACCTGGTGCTCATTTCCCATTCAATTTTGAACTCATTAAAAATACAAATATTAACAGCACAGCTGTTGATTATAAAAATGCTGTTGAACTGTGGCTTAACAACATGCCAGCAGGACATATTGCAAATTGGTTACTAGGAAATCATGATCAGCATCGAATAGCATCAAGGTTAGGTGTTGCCCGAGGTGACTTGCTGAATATTCTCCTTCAAACTCTTCCTGGTGTAGCCATAACATATCAAGGTGAAGAGTTAGTCATGACAAATGTTCATTTATCTTGGAATGAAACTGTAGATCCAGCAGCATGCAATACTCATGATCCAATTAACTATGAAAAAGCATCACGTGATCCAGCTAGAACGCCATTTCCATGGGATGACAGCATAAATGCAGGATTTAATAATGGAACCAAACCATGGCTTCCAGTTGGAGATAACTATAGAACAGTCAATGTAAAAGCACAAGAGCAAGCTGAGAACAGTCATTTAAAAATCTTTAGAAAACTCACGACAATCAGAAAGCAGCCAATGTTCAGGCATGGCAACTATACGAGCGCATTGTCCAACAACAACAATGTTTATTCATATAAGCGACAGTTTGAAAATGAGTTTGCAGTTGTTGTTTTGAATTTTGGAAGCAGTCAAGAAGTTGTGGATGTGTCTTTACTTTTCACATCGATTCCTTCAAACTTGAGAGTTTATACATCATCACTAGAGTCTGGGATTAAAGATGGGTAAGTTTGGGTTTTTTCAGGAGCCAGGAGCTAGTAGCTGAGAATTAGGAGCTTAATGCTAATAGCTAGGAGCTAGTAGCTAAGAGGGAGGTGTGGATATAGCTTGTAAAGCATCTGTTGTAGATAGGCCTGAGCATAGGGCTCGCGTTGAAACTGGTTGTATGTGTATGTCGGATAGCCGAAGTGAGATAAGTATCTGGGTGATCAAGTGGCAGGGATTTCTGATCGAGTGGTCAGAGATCATCTCTTCTGAGGTCGTGGGTTCGATTCCCAACGAATTCGACCTGTTTTACAATTAGTATACACATATGGTTGTTATAGGGAAATCTACAAGAGGACTAGTAGCTAGAAGCTAGGAGCTAGTATCTTATAGTTGACAGATTGTACTTTATAGCTAGTATCTTGTTGTTTGTAGCCAGTAGTTTAATGAAGAAATGTTTGTTGACAAAGTGGAATTAATCCCCCAAATGCCCGTCTCCAGCTCAGTACCTGCTTGAGTATCTATAGCCATACCTTCATATTAACTTATTTCTTTTATTCCAGTGAAATTGTGGATGCCTCAAAAGTTACAATCAAAGGAAACATCGGACTGGTTTTGCTCAACTCATCTCCAATGGCCAAAGCTAATCTTGTATTGATAGTTTTATCAATTGCTGTCTTAACTTTAAAAAGAAGTTTTCATAATTTTTAAAACTTAATAAATAAAAATTCATAAATTATCCAAAAAAATTTTCAATTCATTCCCGACCAGCACAAAGCTAAAGTTTTGTAAAAATCCGCTAAAGCCCAAACCACAATGAGAGGAAATCATGTTTATAGCTGTATTGATTGTGACATCACATAAATTTAGAAGAAGAAGAAAAAAATCTCATTTTCTCACAAAAAAAAAACTAATTTTCTCGCGATCACTGAACATGAAAATGTTTTTCTTTCCTCACAAAAAAAAAGGCAGTGATTCTTTTGCAAAGTGATCGTGAAAATTCGTTTCGCAATTTTTCAGAAACATTTTTTCACTCTCAATATTTTTTTTTCAGACAGAATTTAACTCGCGATCGAATCACACATTGAATGTGTGTGGACATCAAGCGAAGAAGAAGAAGAAGAAAATTAAGAAAAATTTTCTCGGGAAAGTGAAAAATTTCTTCATAAAGTGAAATTTAATGTAAATTTTTTTTATGTAACGGAAAAGTTTTCGGCAAATTCGAGAAATAGTTTTGTAATAAATGAGATAAAAATTGTAAGTGTGAAGAAAAGACTTTTCATTGAATGAAATTTTCCAAAATGGTGGTGATGAAAAATCAAGAAGAAAATTTTGAATGAAAAATATAATTTTTTTTTCTGTGTAACAAGATGAAAAGTGTGAAGGATATTTTGGACAAGCTATAAGTCATAACGTTTGTTTCGACATTAGCTGATGTTGTTGTGGATGGGATGGGTAGTTTGCATGTCGGTGAAGTTTGTATACTCAGAATGTGATGAGAAAAATTGAGAAAAAAATTAAAACAAGTAAAAAATCTTCATTGATGAGTGAATAAAGCGCATTTTTTTGATAATTTAAACTATAAAATAGTTTTATGTGATAGCTATAGACCTTTTGGAACCTAAAACTGTAGCAGATCCATAACTAAGCACACTTAGCACAACCTAAAACGAATTATCAATCAACATATGTTGAAACATTGCCCACAGTGCAGCCAAGCAGACAGGATACTTAGAATCAACTATTTGAAAGTGGATGTAACTTCATTCTTAGTTTATTTTCCATCTGGCTTCTGTGTCGACAATATTAAGCCTGTGCTTAAGGGTTTCAGCTCTTTTAATCAAAGTTTGTGATACTTAAACCAATAAAAAGGCAAATTTTTGAATTTTAATCGTGTGCAGCCGTTGCTTCGACCAGTCATCGGACTCGTTAGATTTAGAATCAATTTGTCATATTAGGTTTTCATATAAAATATTTTAAGAGATCGAGAATGTGGTCCAAATGTCATTCCTACCAAAATTAAGTGCTTTGATGTTGTTTATTGGACTGGATAGATTTAGCGTTGAACCATATAATCCTAGACTTTGTAGACAGACCGTCCAAACTCACTACTTTTGATCAAAATTCAAGTAAACTCGGTTCAATAATTTAAAAGAAAATTGTAAAATTCAAAAATCCTTCAAAATAACCCGCATCCTTGCCCTCATCCACACATTCCCACCCACAAAACTCTTTCAATGACCTTTCCTACTACAAACTCTCAAAAAAAGAAAACCCCAATAAGTGAGAATACTTATGACCTAATTAATTTTTCGTCTGAAACGATGACGTCTTGCCAATACACAAAAGTCAGTTCTAACCGCATCTTTACACACATTAATGCCGTCTATTCCACTCTCTAGTGACTACGTATTTTGTCTAAATATATCACAAAATTTTTATTGATTTTCTTTCCTGTGTTTTGCATCATTTGTGTACGGTGTCGACTAAGTTTAATGTTTTAAGATTTTTTTTTGCATTTTAAATCGAATTTTTCATTAATTTGAGACATTTTATTTTTTTTTTATTAAACATTTCTACTGAAAATACAGAAATGAAATTGGAAAGAAAAAAAAATCTAAAAATAAAAATTTTGTGATAAAATTTTTTTTCTCATGTGTTATTTTTTCTATGTGCCTCACATTTTCCATCTTTTTTTATGTTTACTACAAAGTTTCTTCTTCGCTCTCTCGATTCACATTGTTGGATCTCGTTTAGCTGCTGCTGATCCATATGAGTGACATTACATGACGATTATATCGATAAATAAAATGTCAGACAAATAGGAAATCGCATTTCAAAGTTGTCAGGAAGTTTTCTTATTCGTTTTTGGGGTGAATCATAAATGGTGTCATTTAAAAAAAATTGGATACCTCCACACAGTTTTAGTAGTTGTTTTCGCAATTTAATGTTCAGAGGCTTCAGATTCTCTTTTTCATAGGTTTAAAGCATTGTTTTTCAAAAATGTTTGGTCCACGACACATAGTTTGAGAACTACTGGTTTGAAGCCATGGAAGGGTCTTAAAGATTTCAACCCCTGTTCAGAAATTGATATTTATAGACGAAAATATCATCAATATATTTTCTGGCAACCCTTAACGTCACTCATAAACCAACCCCTATCTGGAAATCCAATTCACTTCCCATAACTGCTTATGAGATGAAAAGAACAACTTTTAATTTCTTTTTTTAATATTTACAAAAAAAATTGATCTCCAAAAGTACGAAATGTCTTCTTCCCACAATCTTTATTTTCAATTCGCTTGCCAATTAAAAGTTTAATTAGTCGTTCAAGAGTCAATGTCAATGTTTAAATAAGCGATGATGTTACATTGAGATGTAGAGCTTGAAAAATATTAATAATTTGTAAAGTCAAATATTATTGATGTCATTTTTTCGGGGGGATTTGAGTTCAAGGAAATCCTTGAAGTTGTTGATTTTTATGCTAGAAATTGGTTGCTGCCTACATATTTTATTTGTCAATCTTAGTCTGCATCTATTTGTACTTAATTGAATGGCTATATTCTATCGGGATTGATGTGCTTCTTACTCATTGTAGCCAGTCGAAGATTCATTGTTTGGCTGGATCTTGTACTTTAATAATCAATTTACTATCTCAGCTAGATGCATGCAGATCTGTTGTCACTAGTAAAGCATGTTTCTAAAAATGTGTCCTCCTTGGAAATTATAGCCAGTTTAAAGATACTAAGGAGGTTCTTTCATGATTTTTTTTATCCATTTTAACTTTAATTACTGTTCTGAGCCAAAGAATTCCTATCCAGCACAATGCCAGAGTCACACCGGCTCGGGATATCTTGTCAACTGGACTTAAGAATTAAGTTTGAATTTATTTCAGAGAAAAATGAAACTTGTTCAAGGCGGGGTTCAAACCCTTGCTATTAATATCATCGTTAACTCTTTCTAACCTCCAAGCCATTGCAGATTGCTTGCAAGCATGACAAAATACAAACTTAAACTATTCCATATTCTCAAATAAACACTTTCTTTGTTATTAAAGTTGATGCAGCTTTACTTTTGAAACTACAGCATAGACCATCCATTAACATAACAATGTAAATTGAAATCCTCCTGCCTCACTTACATTCTCTTACAAAAATTCCTTAAATCCTTTACATCATCAAAATTCATTCAAACTATGCAAATAATTTCAATTCCAATTAATCTTACACATGTTGCTCCTTCCTCAAATAATTCGTCTATGATATCTGATGGACAAATTGAATTACTCCAACCTCAAAAGCCTCAAACATTCCAAAAAATTAAACAAATCAATAAACAGGTGGTGAACATCTGTTACCAAAAAGCACTCAACTAAAATCATATTCTGATGGTCATGACGGAAATAAATATTGGGGTTTAGTAAATCAATAGCTGTAAAGAGGCTTGAGGTTGTTAATACTTGGAATTTACTGAATCTTGACCGATTAAGTGCTCTTGTTGACCTCAGAAGTATGTTGAGAGATTTTTGGTCAATTTGCAACTAATTTGACTAGGAAGTTGAATGATTTATCACATAGTTTACATGATAGATGGATATTGTTGGGTTTGTTGGGTTTTTGATGACTGTATTGATGCTGAAAATTGAAAATTTTGATACTGATGATGCATGGTTTGTGAAGAAGTTGTTTATAAACTATTAAAGGAATTTCAGATCCAATTATCACTATTTGTGATCAAGTTTGGTCCAACCAGCACCAAAACCTCCTAATCTTGTACATCAAAGGATAATTAATGACTAAAAACGTTCAAAATTTAAGATTTTACCTTCAGAATCCTCAAAATCTTCCTTCCAATATTTCATTACAAATTAACGAAAATAATACGCGATTTTTATAGAATATTCTCATCCAATTTTCTGTTTACTTCTATTAATATCCCTGACTCATCTTCAAATATTTTCTCATCGTCATTCTCGCGATGTGAATGCAGTTTTTTGTTGTAATTAAATTACGAGAACTGAAATATTAAATTTTGGTAGCAATTTTATATTACAAATTATGGTTGCCGTTTAACCGCAATTGTTGCATGTGCTGTATGAGTAATTTGCATAAACATTCCAGAAGATGATTTTGGTTAAATGGTGAACATGAATCATTGTTTAATTGCTTGAAATATTTAGGAATTTTTTGGTTGGGAATGAAAGAGGTTATGGAGGTTATTTAGATTAAATTGGGTCATTTGTGAATGACCTTAAGGATCAGCTGCTTGATTAAGTTAAGACTTATACTAAAGCATCGAGCTTTGGTATGCTAAAAGACGGTTATAGGATTAAAACAAGATTTCCCCCTTCCAGATGCACTTAGTATACACTTGAGACTATGATTGTCCTAGAATGAGGTTTGGGCTAGACTATTATGGCTACGAAACTGTCAAAACTTTGTTAATTTTGATCTCAAAACTTTACTATAATATATTCTAACCTTTTTCATTTTAGATGCCTTTAAACAACGGAAAACTAAGCACAGTATCAAAGCCGTCGTGGCTAAAAGATACACCAGCCTCATCAGCAACATCCTCATCATCATCCGCATCACCATCACCAACCACACGAACATGGCAAAGAAAAGCATCAACAGATGCAAAGAAAGAAGATTCACCAGTTGTAGCTGAGCCAGCATCAAGAATTGTAGCACCAAAAGTGATTAAAAAGGAACTTGAACCGAAAAAGGAAGTTACAGCAAAATTGCAGTCTAGGGAAATTAAAGTTCCATTGAAAGTAGAAAAGACGATTCCACCGCCATCAATTTTAAAGAAACCAGAACCAAAAGTTGTAAAGGAACCGGAAGTAAAAGCTTTAGTAGCTGACAAAAAGCTGCCACCTAAATTTGGCAGTAAATCGCCAAGCACAACTCCAAGTAAATCAACACCCAGCACAACACCAAGCAAGTCACCAACTCCATCAAAGACACCAGAATCATTTGACGAATCTGATGAGGATGAAGAGGAAGAGGAGGAAGAAGAAGAAACAGAATCAGAATCCGAAACTGAGTCTGAATCAGAAGATGAAATTGACTCAGACGAATTTGATTTTAGTGACAATGAACCGTATCGTCCACCATCCCCAGTAAATAGTAAACAAAAGCTAATCATCCCCGCTTTGAGGAAGGTCAAGAAAGCACCCGAACCAGAACAAGAGAAGAGACGATCGAAATCACCCGAATTTACATTTAAAAAGCCTGAACTTAAAAAAGTCGTCACTAAAGAACCGACAATTGTGCGCGAACGTTCACCATCGCCTGAGCCAAAATTCCTAAAGCAAAAATTGAGAAAAGTTCCGTCATCATTGAGGTCAAAGAATTTACCACCACGTGAGAAAATTCCAATTGTTGAATTGAAGAAGGCACCGTCAAAGCAAATGGAAGTTGAAGCAAAGAAAATTTCGGAGGTGTCTCTTAAGCCTGCAATTTTGAGAGCTGAAAGCACCAAGAAAAGTGAGTTTGAAATTATTTTCTTGCGTCATTTTCGTCATTGGCGTTGAAATTGAAATTTGTGTACATTAGTGAAATATGTGAATGAAGTTCAGAGTTGTGGTCTTGATTGTTAGAGCTTTGTAAAAGTGATGTAATCTTGGGTGTGTTTATAAGCCTAGTAAGCTGGCTAAATCGTTGATATAATGCTAGTAAAATTGAAATAAGAAGGCTGCGTGCTCTGGTGTGCCTTGTACTAAAACCTACTTTGTCTAAATGATCTTATTTGATTCCAAAAGCTGTTAAAATCAGCCTTGATTTTGTAACTTCAAGTCTAATTTCATATGTATCATTATTAGCCAAGTCAGGTACAATGGTTATGGTACCATTTACGATTAGCGAATGGCATCTTCAGCAATTGTGTGTTCGAATCTCAAAGACACTCAAAACCACTGTTCAGCAATTTTGATGTATTTTAGATCATAAATAGGAACTGGTGACTTTGAGCATTAAAATTTGAACCCTTTAAATGTATAAACAGTCCAACATAGTCTATCCAGACACACAACTCTGTTGAAATATCAAAAAGATGAGTGAGGAAATGTTCATTTATTAAATATTTACATGAAAAAAATTTCATTTCGCGATGAAGCAATTTATCATTGTCTATTTATTGATTCCAGTTGTAGCTTATTTCCTCAGAATTTTCACACTTTCCTTTGAATTGCCGAATATCTCTGCTTTGTTTATATTTTTTTTTATAATGAATTTTTAATAGCATTCGTAGAGATGACGAGACAGTTTTGCATTGTTTTATATTTATTTATAAAAAAATTATTTTAGAATTTGGCTACTGACTCATGAATGCATTGTTGTGTAAAAATAATTTTGAAACTAGTTGAAATGACGTATTTGAAGAAACATGAACTATTTTTAAAGGTGTTTCATATAGTGGATCTTAATCATATTTTGTTCGAATTTTTAATTTCTTAAGACCCCCCCCCCCCCCCCCATAAATTACAGCTTTAAAAATTGGTCCAATCTATGACTTAGTTTGTGTCTATTGTTGTGTTTATTTTAATCACAAATATTTACTTAATTAAATTTCTTATTCAACATTTTCTCTCTTAATTTCATTTATCATTACAGTTCCAGCTCCTCCACCACCTGTAAGTATTTAAATTAAATTCTCTTTCAGTTCTTCATTCAGCATCAAGCATCGGAATCAAGAGCAACTTTCTTATATTATTTCCTGGAAAACTTAAAAAGTTTGTGAACTTCAAAGTTTAAATTGCTCTTGAACTCTCTTGCACGCCTTTTAAGAGGATTTAAAGACTAAGTTTTTCAATTCATCAATTTCAGCCCCCTCCACCTCCACCTCCTCCAGGCCATAAGCCTCCACCAGACTTTGATAAGAAGCCAGTATCAGAAAAACGTCGTGAGACAATAGAAAAATTAAAAACTCGACCAAGAAGGCGTCCAGACTGGTCAGAAATGATGAAAGAAGTCGAAGATGGAAGGAAGTTGAGACACGTGCAATGCAATGACCGGTAAGAAATGACTCGTTTTTTATGGATAAAAATATTTAACTCAGTGAAATTCGTAGCTCAAGTCCAATAATCACATGCAAATCAATGACAAAAGTTCAAGGTCAATATGTCTTCGAAACGGAAAAGAAAAATACAGACTTGGATAATTTACTGCATGAAATTCAAAGTGGAATAAAATTGCGTCCAGTAAAGACAAATGATCGTAGCCGACCGGTATTAGATGGCTTAAGGAAATTCCGTCGTCAGATGACAATTGAGGAACAGATTCAGAAATCTGAGTCAAAAGCTGTCCTGAATACAGAATGTCCACAATCACCCTTACCGGACGATGAGGATGAGCTCGATGACATCGACAGAGTTCGTGATGACTTGCAAAGTACGAAACAAATGTTGGCATTAGAATTGAGAAATAAAGAAGCACAAGAACGTGAGAATAAGAGATTGCTTGCTAAAATTGCATTATTGGAAGCTGAACTGCATCAATCAAGAGGCGGTGTGGCTACTGAACCATCAATTTCATTATCGAATGGAACCACAGATGATGCATTGGTTAAGACTTTGAAAAAGGAATCAGATGAAGCACATCGACAGTCAAAGTTCCTTGAAAAGAAATATCATGAAGCTGCAGAAAAATTGGATCATGCACAAAAGGAAATTGAGGAACAGAGAAGATATATCGCTAATCTAGAAAAGAAATTAAATGTGAGTTTTGTGTCTTGTGGATGTAAAAATAATTTTTTTGGCTTAATTACTATAAACAATGCTTATGCTTCTTATTCTTCTCTTTTAAACATTTTCTCGGCTTCTTTTTATTAATAAAATAATTTTAGACCTATGAGGAAAGCGGATACGCTTTGAATGAGGTAATGAACGTTTAACACGATGCAGCTGCTTGTAATTTTGTTTGGCATTTAATTGACTTTGTTTTTAAAAGTGTTAACTGGAAATACTTTTTGACTTGACTGTAGTTGTAGCTCACTGGAGCTTAGTTTTGTCTGTCTGTGGTGTATTTTGGTCTTATTGAGTGTCTTTTGATCAATGATTTTTTTGTGGAAATTCAAGATATGATATCAGCTGCAAAGTTGATTCTGTTACATTGTGTCATGTTTATGTGAATCTACGAGTACTAGAGAAAGGCTTCTGTGGCTCAGTTGTTACACATCCGACAAATAATCTGAAATTTAAATTTTTGTGAGAATGTGGTTCGATTCTCAGCAGAAGCTGATTAATCATTATATAAGTTTATGATGGATTTTGAAAGGACAAGGATTCAAACCATACTCAGAGCATTACAGTATGAAACACAGCATCAGTTGAACTTATTAGCTCACTTCATTAATGGAGTAAAGTGTATCACCTTAAACATAAGACATAAAATGCGCCTTAATATAACACCCCATCTTCCTAATCACGTGTTGCTGTTTATTTTTAATAGAATTAACCACAATAAGCACAATGTTCTTAGTAAATTTTGTAACTTTATTGTTTGCTGAGTCACATTTGCTTGCACATTTTAGTATGTAACATTAATGTGATCAAAAATTATATAAATATTTTATTGCGACATTTCTTATGCTTACAAAACTTTCAACTACATATTGTTTTATGAATTTATGTCCTATATTCATAAGTCTAGCATTAACACATATTACCTTAATTCTATAAAAATTAATTAAAATTTATAAATTCCTTAATCATAGGGCGGAGGCGTAGAATCTCGTCGACAAAGTGAAGCCCAACAAACCAAAGAAAGCTCACCAGAAATGGAATTAGTTCTATCAGAAGAGGAAGAAGATGAAACAGAGGAACAGAAAGCAGAAAGAGCTGCCAGACGTCTCAAACGTGAAGTTGAAATGCTTCGATCAAAATTAGTCAGATTAAAGGAAAAAGAACAAAATGCAAGAAATGAAAGAAAAGCATTGAGGGACGGAATGAAGAAGAATCAACAAATTCTCAAGTAATTCAATCAATCCATTTACATTTAATTTGATTTATTTTTTTCTTCATCAAATTATTCAATAAAATATTATTAATATTCTTCAGAGACGAAAAGAAGAAATTCAAGAAATTACAAAAGGAAGTTGAGAAAATGGCAGCAATGATGAAAGCAGTTGAAGATGAAAATTCAGATGAAGAGCATGAAGAAAATGAGGAACCAGAGGAGGAGGAAGAGGATGAATCAGAGCCAGAATCAGAAGAGAGCGAGTCAGAAAGCGAAAGTGAAACTGAAAGTCAATCGGAAGCTGAAGTAAGTTCGATTCTAGGGTAGCTATATAGCTATTCTACTAGCTTTTTTATTTGATCTATCCCTGTTGCAAAGTGTCAGTTCTTCCACATGAGGTGGTTTCTTGGGTATCCAGCAAAAAACCATAAGCATGTCCATAAAGTAGCTTTGTAGCTTTTCAAACTCTCCCTTTTGTTTTAATAACCTCAAAAATACTTAAACCTAAAGTCTAATTCCCTCAATTTATAATTTCTAGGATGCCGAAGACCTGACAAAGAAGGACAACCTCGATCCACGAGTAAAACGCCACGACGGTCGTCTATCATCATTAAAGAAAGGCAATTACTTACTAGAAGCAAATGTTGAACGTCTCAAAGATGAAATTAAGGATCACAAAGAAAAGTGTGCCGCCCTCCAAGCGGATCTCGACTCTGTAATTGATTTATGCTAGATAAATACAAAAAAAAAAATGAATTATTTTTATTCTTTAATGGTAATTGTTATATTTTATCAAAAGTAAAGTGCAGCTGATTTTATGCAACATAACAATTTTTTTTTTAAATTATATTAATTATTGATGAATGAATTATTAATTAAATTTGATGATACGTATGGTAATAATAAAATGGATTAAAGGTCAGCTTTGACTTTATGTAAATTTGCTGTTTTATTTATTTGGACAGAGGGTTCATTAAACAAGCGGTTGATAGGAATAGAGTCAGTTTCTGGTGTCATTTAAGGGGAGTCTTTGGATCATAATTGATCTGGATGTTAAATGAAAGAATTAAGGTTAATCTATCGTCTTAGTTGAGGGATCTGAGATTTTGACTTATTATTTTTCGAAAAATGAAATTGAAAAAGGTCTTAAAATGCAATCTTTGACGACATGTGCAACTTAAGCATAGCCTGGAGCTGCAACAGATCAAGAAGATGGAGGACTGCTCTTTCTTGAGAGTAATTTATTTATGCTATCCAGTTCTTAGCTTAACAATGATCCAATACTGCAACCTTTCATCAAAAACACCAATACAAGTCCCCATAATCCACTTCCCATACACATCATTTATGAACAACCCCCAAACTTCAACTAAAATATCAAAAATAATAATCATAATCATTAAAACAAAATCTACCAAATTTCTAAACCAAAACTTTCCTATCAAAAGAGATAAAAGCACAAAAAGCAGTCATGATTTAGAAAAAAATAATTTTCATAACCCCAAAAAAAAATTCTCGCATTTCAAAAATCTCTCATTTTCCACATGAAAATCATTTTATTTCAGATTCTAATGCAGTTTTTGGCAAACATTATAAATACATTAAACAGCGTCTGTGCTCTATTCTTTTGAGCTCGCATAACAAACAGTTCATACTAATATTCAGCACTAACAGTTGATGACAGCAGCACCACACCGATATCTTTGCCTATAACAACATTTGTGCTTAATACATCCGCTCCGTTTGTCATCCCTGACGATAATGATGATGTATAAATTTTCAGTTGCGCAGGAACTCCACTAAATGCAGATGTGACATTAACAGTCTGCTGTGTTGTTCCAAAATTCAATAAAATAACCGCGACTTGATTTTCGTATTCTCTTTTATATGCGAAAACATTATCATTATTCAATAAAGTGCCAGCATAAGTCCCCTGTCGGAATACAGGCTGTTTTCTAATTGTCGTTAGTCTACGGAATATTTTCAAGTGACTATTTGTCGCTGCCTCTTGTGCTTTTACATTGACTGTTTCATAATTTTTGCCAGCTGGTAACCAAGTTGTATCGTTTGTGGAAAATCCACCATTTTTGGTATCGTCCCATGGAAATGGAGTTCTAGCTGGATCACGTGATGAACTCTCATAATTCACTGGATCATGAGTATTACATGCTTGTGGATCTACTGTCTGTTCCCAAGTTAAATGAACATTTGTCATCACTAGTTCCTCGCCTTGATAAGTTATTGCAATACCTGGAAGTGTTTGTACCAAAATATTTAATAAATCACCTCGATCAACTCCCAACCGACTTGCTGCTCGATGCTGATCATGATTCCCTAACACCCAATTTGCCTGAATACCAGTCTTTTTAGGCATGTGATCCAACCATGAATCTATAGTATTTTTGTAGTCCTTTGCCGTGCTGTTTTGATTCAAATTCTTTATAATCTCAAAATTAAATGGGACATAAGATCCTTTCCTATCTCCATCGCCATAAAATCTCTGTGCCTTTTCAACAGCCGCATATGATTCTGTCATCATGATTCTTGTATCACCGCCATTCAATATTTTAAAGTTGTCAAGCAATTCTCGCCATTGATAAGCCATATCGTATGTCTCATTCTGATCTTGGGTATAAATGTGATTTAGATAACAAGGGTCGTTATAGTCACAATTTGGATTGTCAATTGGCTCGTCTGGGAAAGTTCCGTCTTCAAACATTTTCTCGAAAAGGCAAACGATGATGTCAATGCGAAATCCAGCAACACCTTTTTGCATCCAGTAGCTTAAAACATCTTTCATTTCTTGAACTAATTTTGGACTTCGATAATTTATGTCTGGCTGTTTGTAATGGAATTGATGTAAATAAAATTGTTTGCGGATGTTCGACCATCGCCATGCTGAATATCTGAAGAAGCTTATCCAATTTGTTGGTGGAACTAGAAGATTTGTGTATGGATCAATTTTACCATCACGCCATATATAATAATCCTCATATCCTGGAACACTTGCCTCGCTCTTATTAAACCATTCATGCTCATCAGATGTATGATTTGGAACGAAATCGAGGATTAATTTTAATTGCAGTCGTTCACATTCAGCGATTACCTCATCGAAATCCTCGAGAGTTCCGTACTCGGCATTAATACCACGATAATCCGAAATATCATATCCGAAATCAGCCTGTGGTGATTTATAGATTGGAGATAACCAAACACCGTCCATACCCAATCCTTTGACATATGCAAGCTTCGATTTGATTCCTTGTAAATCACCAATGCCATCACCATCGCTGTCCATATAGGAACGCGGATAAATTTGATAAAAATTTCCACCTTCCCACCAATCGAGTTCTTGGCAGTTTGCAGCTGCTATAATCAGCAGTATCACAAGTTTTGTCATCTTGATGGAAATTTCCGATTAAGACTAACTTAAAATTTGTTATTGTCATTTATTATATTGCACAGTATATCCATAAACTTGATCATGAATTGTCTATACTCGAGGTGAATTTACAGTGCACTTAAGATTGTTATCAGCTTCCGTAACTTAACATTTTTGTTTACAAATGAATTAAATCTACAGCACTAAAGTCACACTTTTCACACAGTTCTACTGCACTTGTAATTAATTTTACAAATGACCAAGCACAATCTTAATTAATATCTTTTAATGCTCGTGTTTACAATTTAACTAACGACTCACTGACTATCAAGCATGTCTCATCTCTTTTCATGAAGCTTTTAAGAGTGAGAGATATTTGAGAATATGATGATTATTTAGATATCGCTGCAGGAAGTCATCGTTGTGCTCTATTGTTGTGTGAACAATAAGCAGAGAAATTCAATTTTATATGTTGGAACTTGCTCTTTTTTTAAGTTGAATGGAAGTTGGAATAATTTTTGGTGTAGGTTTTTAAGGTGCACTAAAGTGTTTGAAGATGCGTTGTTGCTGACGGTTACTTAATGTTCAATGTGTTACAATGCATGCAAGGGATGGGTGTGGGTCAGGTTTGGGATGGTTTTGGAATGGGTATGTGATAAATATGGATCAGTGATGGCCCATTCTTGTGCCGTGGCACATTAGTGCGCGAAAAAATCCAAGAAATCCCAACAGCCGTATGCGTTGTTCCGTGACTTTAGCAAAAAGGTGTGCCGTGACCTTAAAAAGGTTGAGCATCACTGGAAAAAAACGGATTTGTGACGGCTATGGGACTAGACGGATATGGAATATATATGGGGACAGGTATAGTATGAGTATGAATTGGTCATGGGATGGACATAGCCTAAGGTATGGATAGAACTATAGTATCATTGGCGAAGCCAGAAATTTTAAAAGAAATTGAGTCAAGTCTCTGTGTAGTTCATTTAAAGTTTATTCAAGTGAGTTGCCCACAATCATACTAGAACATCCAAAAATCATCAGCATCAACAAACAACTTAAAATTTGCATGATTCTTTCATACAGGTATCATCAACCTGATGATCCACATGAAGCACAGCCACCCATTGTGCACATGGAAAACTTCTAAAACATTAGCAAGGTAAATAGAACAGCTACATTCACACGATGGCTTGATAAAAGCCATAATATTATACAAAAACATTCAACGAGTGAGTGAGAGAGAAAGAACAAGAATGAAGGAAAATGGCACATTTTTTTCTATTTCAAGTGCACTTTTATGTGTCATTGCGGCATAATATGTGTAATCAAGATACAGTTATCATTTTTTTATCAACCAACATTTGAAATTCATTTGTTGTGGGAACAATTCAAGCTATATATAAAGAAGATTGTCACTGCAACAGCACAATAGTATCTAGTTCGTCATGAAGCATTTTCAAATTTTGATGCTATATTTTGCCCTGCATTGCTCAAATGCAGCCGATTTGGAATGGTGGCAAGGTGGAAATTTTTATCAAATCTACCCACGATCCTTTAAAGACAGCAACAATGATGGTTTAGGAGATTTATTAGGAATCGCATCAAAAGTGCCATACTTAGCTGAAATTGGAATGGACGGTGTTTGGTTATCACCAATTATGGATTCTCCACAAGCTGATTATGGATATGATATATCAAACTACAGGGATATCAGCAAGGAATATGGAAATTTATCTGATTTTGATGTATTGGCACAAGCATGTAAAGCAAACAATATCAAATTAATTCTCGATTTAGTTCCAAATCACTCATCCAATAAGCATGAATGGTTTACAAAATCAGAGAATCGTGAACCAGGCTATGAAAATTATTATGTATGGCATCCAGGAACTTTTGATCCAGTAACTGGTCAGCATATCCCACCCAACAATTGGGTCAGTGTTTTCCGATTCTCAGGATGGAAATGGTCACCAATACGCAAGCAATTTTACTATCATGCGTTTTTGTATCAACAGCCAGACTTGAACTATCGTAATCGAAGAGTTGTGCAGGAGATGAAGGACGTTATTACTTTTTGGTTGGGTAAAGGTGTAAGCGGCTACAGGATTGACGTAAGTTTATTCTTATCACCATCTCTATACAAAGATATTAATCATATATTTTTATAGGCTGTCCCATTCATGTTTGAGGTTGAAGCTGATGCAAAAGGAAATTTCCCAAATGAACCACTTACAGGTGCTACATGCACAAATCCAGATGATTACTGCCATACACAACATGTCTTTACGAATGACAGAAGTGAAACTTATGACATGATCTTCCAATGGCGTGCATTAATGGATGAGTATGCACAGAGTACTGATAAAGTTCCTCGAATCATTATGACTGAAGCTTACACATCACTTGACAATATGATAAGATTTTATGGAGAAAATGGCAGAAAGGGTAGCCACATTCCATTTAATTTCGAGCTTATTAGTAATGTCAATACTGAAAGTACAGCTAGTGACTACTTTACAAGAATTAATAATTGGTTGTCAAGAGTTCCCGAAGGCAGTCAAGCTAATTGGGTCGTGAGTATCTGGAATAATTTTATTGAAGCTGCTAAATCTTACTTAGTAAGTGCCAAACTTTATTTTCAGCTCGGCAATCACGATCAATGGAGAATGGCAACAAGACTCGGTGTCGAACGTACAGACTTATTAAATATCTTACTCCAAACCCTTCCTGGCGTAGCTATTACATACCAAGGTGAAGAACTAGGATTACTCAATACTCATCTAACATGGGAGGAAACAGTTGATCCAAGTGCATGCAACACACAAGATCCAGTTAATTATGAGAAAGCATCACGTGATGGCTGCAGGACACCATTCCCATGGGATGACTCAACAAATGCAGGATTTAATGAAGGAAAAACACCATGGCTGCCAGTCAATACTGACTATACAACAATGAATGTACAAGCACAGAAGGATGCAAGCAATAGTCATTTGAAAATTTTCATAAAATTAACAAAACTGAGGAAGCAAAATGTCTTGAGACAAGGAACACATGAGCTGAAATTGATAAATAATGAAAATGTAATTATCAACCTTCGATCGTATGGAAATGATGTTGCAGTTGTTATTATGAACTTTGGGGATTCATCTCAAACTGTTAATGTAATTGAAGCATATCCTGATAAGACTTTGCCTGCTGAATTGCCCATATATACTGCATCCTTATTAACATTTACAGAAGGTGGGAATCAGACGTTGAGTAGTGTTACTGTTGCAGCTAATAAAGCTGTAGTTTTGACCAATGTTGTAGTGGCATAAATTTTTGAAATGTGATTAAAATTTGCTGACAAAATTTTGTAATGGATGTGCTTAGAACTTAATTTGTAGATTTTTGATTTAATTGAGATTGGTGAATAAATGTTAGAGATCTATGGAAACTTAAAAAATCCTTCTCCCTCTCTCATATTGTGATATGATTTATGAATGACACCGAATCAAGGGGGACAACAACATGAAGGGGAAAAAGTTTGTGTGACATTGATTCCAATTTACAGCTCTGGTGGCCTCTATGACGTCATTATAGACGATGTTACTTCATCTGCACAACAAAGAGGGAAACAACATGATGGAAAAAATATTCCCCTTTAGACTGTTTCCCCCCTATATAATTGATTTTCACTTCCTTTTATAAATTTCCACTCACAAACATTCGCATCAAAAAATTCAATATATATTCACTCAATGTATGCAAACATCAATCTGAATCCTTATTTACATCGAACTTTACACGAATCAGTCTCATATTTGCATCCAATAATTGACATAATTTATTTAAAGTGTTTGATGATAGCAATTCATGAACATTTACTCGGTGTGGCGTCTGTTGATTGAAGTGGCTTGATAAGTGCCCCTTTACGTTACGACTGACAAGTATTCATTGTGCATTCACAGTGCGACATTGTTGAATAGTATGCACATTATGTGGTATAAGCAGGTGGTGGATGAGACATTTCTATTAAATTTGTAATTTATTTAGTATGAAAAGGAATCAGAAATTGTTGGTTGACAGCGAATGGACTGCATGATATGTGACAAGCTGTTATGATTAGTTGATCACTTTGAATGGGGTTAAGGTTGAAATTGTTGAGTCATGGTAAATTAACACGTTGGGTAAAGATTCTTATGTTAGTGAATCTGTCAGTGCGACAGTAAAGTCTTTGTGGTCGAGTTGTTAAGCAATTGGACAAAAATCTAATGTTTAATGTGATTGTAAGTTCGATTCCCATCAAAAGCCACTTCTCAAATTACATTGCGTTGCCCAAACAGAAGTAAATTAAGATACAAAAGCTGATGAGGCTTCGACAAGATTCTGAGACGTAAGAAATTCCTAGTAAGACATGAAGCTAGTTTCATATTTAAACCATTTTCAAGCCTATAATCATATGAATTAAATCAATTAAATCTAATAACCGTGCCATTAAAAATATAAAATTCACAAAATTACTACGAAAGTTCCATGAAGCTTAATATACCAAAATTTTACTAGTAAGCCTTACAAAATCCATAAAAACATCCTCTTTAAGCACTTCCATTATATGTTTATATATCTTGTCTCATAATTACACATCACAAAACATTCAAAACGCCTACAGTTTAGGAAATTACGTTGAAAAGCCATCTCTATAATGTTTTAATTAAATATCATCCTACGTAGCTACTTCCATTTCACAAAGATACATGCACAGAATTAAGTTCTTTCTAAAGATTTCTAAAATAATTAATTTTAGCCACAAAACTATCATTCCATTTTATTTTATTTTATTTTGTTTCATGTTCATCAAGCAAATTAAATTTAAATGTTTTCCTTTTGCTTCTTCCTTCCTCGTCCTCTTGAGCTCTGTGTCCTTTTTTGTCATTCATTATCGAGTAGAGTGAAATTCTCGTCAATTTTTCTCGTCCCACAGAGTTTTTGTTTTCTTCATTGGACTGTCTGCAGGGGTGGAGATAGGAGCGTAGTTAGAAAAGGACGAGGAAGTGAATGGAACACTGATGAGAGTAGCTGCAAGCTCTGAACTTCTTAATCTGCTTATGCATCATTTTAAGTGTCTTCAAGCCTCCTCCTCACTAGGTTCCCCTTGCTGCACCCCTGACTGTCTATCAAGCTATCAACTACCATATTCTGAGCAATATTTACCATACCAAAGTAGCAGACAACGATAAATGAACTTTTAGGCATGCAAAAAAGGCAGGGAAAAATTGAAGCAATTAATCAGAAATTTAATTGAATTATTTATATTGGACGAAATGTTTAGCAAGTGTGTATACAAGAACGAATGGTGCAGAGTGAGGATGAAATGTCATTCTCATGTTTTGACAGTAAGTTTAAGAGATAACAAAATTAAATTAAGAAAAAAGGGCTTCATTTATTCTCCCTTTTTTTAATAGCAGCTTGTGTATGTGTGTTTGTTTAGACTCATCTCATCTCATCCTTCAGTGTTTTGTCATAGCTCTTGATCTCTCAAGTCATGTCAAGTGCTGTTTTCTTCGTTTTTAAAAGGATTTTAAAATATGATGATGATGTGGTCTTGCTGGTGTTTTGTCGGGTGGGAGGCAATTTTTTTTAAAGCGCTTCCTTGATCCAAGTTTTGTGTGTTGAGGATTATTGAAGGTTATGGGAGGTCATGGTAGGTTATGGCAGGTTATGGCAGGTAATGGCAGATTATGGCGGGTTATGGCAGGCTATGGCAACATAAGATTGTATTGTGAAACATAGTTTGAGAAGCACTGCTAAAGATACTAGTCATAAAAGTAATGCTGAATCAGGAAGAGCTTCCTAGTAGTAAATGAAGAGTTTTGGCACTCGTGGCTTGATTTTAGAGTTATCGGATCCACGATTTTCTTGATACGTGATCCTTAGGGCTACCAACTAAGTTGGGTCGATTAATAAAGCACTGAACATCCCGTAAAAACCCTCAAAATCATTCCACTACAAAATAATTCCAGCTACACAATGAAAATGCGCCAAAACCACCATCAACAACATCCCATCCATACTTTGTCATCAAGCAAAATAAAGGGTAAGAGAAGTGAAGTAAAGATTAAGAGCAGTAAAGATAAAAATGTTCATCTCCTTCAACTCCTCTTGAATCGGACACCAAAAGCCTTTTTACACTGCATACATACATGACTTTTGTTTTCATTCTCGTCATTTTGTTTTAAGCAAACATCGTCTACAGTGACTTGACTATAAGCACAAGTACACATTTATGTATGTATGGATCTCGTATACATCTAAATATATTTGTTTAATATCTTTTGGCAGAATATTTTAAGAGGTCACATGACATTGTATGTTCATATGTTGTGTACTGCTGTATTCTGCTAAGGAAATAAAAATTAGTTATTGTGAGATTTGTATCGTGGAGTGGAGGGAAAGAAACATGCCATTTGATGTCTTTTCCACAAGTACAAATACATGTACTAGAAATTATCATGAAATTTCATGTTTCCCCAAAAATGATTCTCGATGGAGACGTTGTTTTTTTCGTTCCTTTTGCTTCTGTGCTTCACACATTATATGTTCTGTATTTTTCGGTCTCATATACACTTTGAATATTGCTTAACATGATACTCGTGCACCACAAAAATGGATCTCTTAGCCAGATAGAATGGAGAGGTGTAATGTTTGTTATGTAAAGAATAAATATTAATGGCTTAGTGTGGGATGTGTATTTGTGGGTTTGCCTCTGTTCGATGGAATTTTGTGTAGTCATTTGGATGGATGAGCTAATGAATATAGGAGGCAATTTAAGAATTTTTTGGCTGTGTATTGAAATAGTTGTCTTTAGTGTATAAGAGGAGTCTAAGCCCTGGTGAATGTGATCAAGATAGTGACTTTAAGCATTTTACAAATCTAACCTAAAAATTGACAAAAAATTTTTTAAAGCGTCTAGCGTCGATTTTAATGTGTTTTATCTGAGAAACCAGCATCTGAACTCATCGCGCTATTTCAGTGTTGTCCAAACTTTTTTGAGGTACGGCATCCGTTTGGGGGGGAAAGAAGTCGCACGCAGCATACAGCTCGCGTCATTTCCAAAAAAATGTGCCCCGAATCAGGGTTCGAACAAAACTGTGCTAGTTTGACGAAAAACAAATTGCGCCTCATTTGGACCACACCATTTCTATAGGGGCCGTTTACTTATGACGTCCGACATTTAGGGGGGGGAGGGGGGTCTAGGATTTTGTGACAGTTCAAACAATGGAAATTTTTTTCTAAAGAATTTTTGTGACAGAGGGGGGGAGGGGGGTTTAAAAATCAGGTTTTTTGATGGGCGTCATAAGTGAACGACCCCATACTGAATTTTGTTCAATGTTATTATATAATTTAATAATTGAGTGATGAAACAGCTTTAAGATTCGTACCAAAAACAGCATTTTGCTGGTTAACTTAACATCTAAATCATTGTGAGGTTTGATTCTCAGTTAATCAAAGTTGAAGCTAGAAGAATGTCCAAGAAGGTCCAGATCCTTTACCCCATACCAGAGAATGTTTAATGCTTTCACTACTCATTCATGGCTAAATTAGTGAGAGCAAACATTATCAATAGCAAGTCACAAAATCTCAGACCAACATCCCCTCACCCAATAAAAAGCGAATGTTCTCAAAAATCACAAAAATAATAAAAGTGGATTTTTATTGCGCAAAAAATTAACAAAAAATTCCATTCAGATTTCAATTAATTTTAACGTTTCACGAAATATTAAGCAAGCCACAAAGAAACAATTAAAAAACATTTTTCCGAACAAAATTGGTTACAAAATTTCAAATCTCATCCATAAACTATCAAATTTAAATTTCCCCAAAAAATCCATTAAAAATTAGAACCGTAAGTAATAAAAGAACCCGTTTATAGACGATAGCAATTCAAAAGTCATAAAAAAAGCTGGAAAACGACAAAGATTAGACCGAGCATTATCCAGTCATAAATTCGTTCCGAAAGAATTCTTATCAATATCAACTGCACATTACAGCAGAATATTTTTATAACCTTTTTCTCTGTGCCAAAAAAAAAGAGGAATATTGTATCTCTCCATTGTGGACGTCTCTTTTTACATAAAAAAAATTATTTTCATCATGAAATTTTTTTTTTCCATCCTAAAAGCTTAATTGTGTTCATTCTTCGTCTTATTTAATTGTCATCAGAAATGTGATAACGACAAAATGCAATTTCATGTGAAAGCAATTAAAATTAAGCTCGTCGGCACAATCGCCAGCAGGACTCATTTTTGTGCCTAAAGAAATTTATTTCTTTGAGAGCATTTTTCCATCCTCGAGACTGTGCAAATATTAATTATAAGATTTTTCAAACTGAAATCTTAGAAGGAATAAAATTATTTTTCAGAATAACCTCCTCCCC